TTTGGTTTTGTTGTTGTTTTTCCAATTCCCTTAGGCATGATATTAGGTTGTCCTCCTTTCTTTATCTTATGGCTGCTTTTGTGGTGTCCCAAAGTTTATGGAAACTTATGTACTCACTATCATTTGTTTCCACAAATTTTTTGATTTTAGACTTAATTTCTTCAGTAGTTAAGAAGTCGTTCAGAAGTAGGTTGTTGAAAAAACCACTCTCTAAAGATGACATACGAATAGCTAAAAGGCATATGAAAAAATGCTCAACATCCCTCATTGTAAGAGAAATGCAGATCAAAACAACAACGAGATATCACCTAACCCCAGTCAGAATGTCTAAGATTAAAAAAACAAAAATTGTTAAGTGCTGGCAGGAGTATGGTGAAAAGGGAACTCTCTTACACTGCTGGTGGGAATGTAAATTGGTCCAACCACTGTGGAGAACAATTTGGAGCTACTGTTCAGTGGATATAAGATTTAGTTACAAAGACAGCAGGCTGCCTGCGGCTGCAGGGCTTAAGGACTGGGACCAGTACCTTATCCCCTCCCCTACTTGCCTTTGGACTCTCAGATTTGTTTCTTGGGACTTTGAGACAAACTTGTGTCTCTCTTCGACCTACTCAGACACCCATCTAGCTAAGGGCAGTCCAGACAAAGAACAGGATGCCTGCAGCTGCAGGGCTTAACAGCTGGGACCTGAGGCTCATCCCCCACCCACACTTGCCTTTGAACTCCAAAACTTTGGTGTTTTGTATAGCACGTGGCATGATCTCTTCTTTGTTACTGAGTTGAAGCTCAGCAGCTCAGTTTCAGGTGTACCTGCTCTTTAGAAACAGGGAGAACTTTGGGTCACCGAGGATTAGTAACAATAGTGCAGGGTGCTACTGAGCAACAGGGAGACAGAGCACATGAGAGATTGTCTATTTCCTACTCCTGCACACCTTTGAATGCTCAAAAATATCTTGAATATTTTAGAAAGAAATGTATAGATCACCAGGTAACTAGGAACCATTGTAGAGTCACAAGAAATACAGCAACCAACAGAATGTCTCTCCTCCAAGGAAGAACATCTATTCCTCATCACCCACAGAAAACACAATGGAATTCGTGGAAATGTCAGATAAACAATTCAGAATATTTGTAGTGAACAAACTAAATGAGATACAAGAGAAAGACTTAGAAACTATATATCCAGCATCTTCTCAGACCATGATGGAATTAAACTTAAAATTAATTTCAAGGGACCAGCAGTTAGCGTAATGGCTATGTTGCTGAACTCCCACATAGTTGACTGCGGTTTGAGTCCCGGACCCGGTGGCTTAAAACTCACGCCGGGCGCGTGTGCGTGCGTGCCCAAGATCCCAAGAGGCGAATGGAGGAGAAGGGATTGCAGCGTGACCATCCCCCCTGGGGATAGTATGGGCATTTTAACAATATTAATTCTTCTAATTAATAAATGTTGGTTGTTTTTCCATTTGTTTTTGTCTTCTTTCTTTTATTAATGTTTTGTAGTTTTCAGATATGTCTTCTATCTTTTAGTTAAACTTATTTCTAAATTTTTGCTATAGTGTACATGTTCTCACAGTGGCAGCAGGGTAGAAAGAGAGAGAGTGAGAAATCACCGTCTGGGTGGATGGCCACACCACAATCCCTAGTCCTCCATTCTTCTCTTGGGTTTTTGAGCATACATGCACACATGCCTGACATGATTTTCAAGCTTCCAGGTCCAGGACTCTAACTGAATTGTCCATGTGGGATTCAGTGGCTTAACTATTACACCACCTACTGGCCCCAGTGCTTTATACTTTTTGATGATATTATAAATGGAATTTTTTTCCCCTTGGCTTCATTTTTAGATAGTTTCTTGTATATACAAATGCAACTGATTTTTGTCTGTTGATTTGGAATTCAATAACCTTACAGAATTCTTTATTAGTTCTAACAGGTTTCTGGTGGAGTTAGTATTTTCTATATATAAGATTGTGTCATCTGCAAACAAATACTTCTTTCTTTCCAATGTGCATGAATTTCTTTTTTCTTTTTTTTTCTTCTTTCTTTCTTTCTTTTCTTTTTTTTTTCCTTTTGCTATAGAGTGCATGCGGGTTTCAGAAGGGGGTGTGGAGTGAGAAATTACTCCCCTTGAGGAGGATGGCCACACTGCAATCTCATCTCCCCCAGTCTCCTCTCAGGGTCTTGGGCATGCATGTACACAAGCCCCGTGTGATTTTCAAGCTGCTTGATTTGACACTTGATCTGTGCAGTGAGCCACATGGGATCCAGTGCCTTAATGTCCACAACATCTGCTGGCCCTATTTTTTTCTTACCTAATTGCTCTGGCTAGTATATCCATTACTATATTGAACAGAAATAGAGAGGATGGATATTTTACCTCGTTTCACATCTAAGCAGAAAAGGTTTCAGTTTTTCACCACTGAGTACGATGTTAGCTGTGGGACATATAAGGGGACTTCAAAAGTTTAAGAAAAAAGTGAAACTAAAATATGGGTTTACTTTGGTGCAAACAAAATTGAAATCATGTTTAGTATTTTTTTTTATACTATGTATTTTCCTTTTGAGGATTCCTCGTATATAGCCATTATATTTTTAAGTTTGTTTACACCTAATTTGTTAAGAGTTTTTCTTTTTTAATTATTAAAGTTTTGAATTTGACAAATGTTTTTTTCTTCATATATTAAGATTATATAATTTTTATCTTTTATTTTGTTAATGTGGTATATCACATTAATTGATTCTTATATGTTGAACTAGTCTTGCATCCCAGGATGAACCCAATTTTGTCATGGTGTATGATCCTTTTGATGTTCTGCTGAGATCAGTTTGCTAATTTTTTATGTTTAAGCAATTTTTAAAAAATATTTTTGCCATAGGGCATTATGCAATTACCAGAGAGAGAGAGAGGGACAAAGGGAAAGTGAGAAATTACTCCCCAGGATGGCGATTCCACAATCCCTTTTCCTCCATTCTCCTCTCAGAATTTTGCGTATGCACACATGCATGACTGGTGTGTTTATCAGGCTGCCAAGTCTAGGGCTTGAACTGTGGAACTGGCCATGTGTGATCCAGTGCCTTAACTACCAAGTTATCTATTGGTCCCAGTTCGCTATTTTTTTTTTTTTTTGAGGATTTTGAACACATATTTATTATGGACTTGGCTTATAGTTTTCTTTCATTGTAGTATCTTTGTCTGGTTTTGGTCTCAGGGTCATACGGGCCTTATAAAATTAATTATTTTATAAATTAATTAACATTAATTCTTCTTAAACACTTCCAAAAAAGTGAAGGTAGAGGAAATATGTTCAAACTCACTTTATAAATAAATTGACATTAATTTTTCTTTAAATGTTTGGTAGAATTCACCTGTGAAGTCATCATTCCTAAGAATTATTTTTTGTTGTTGGATTTTTTTGACTACTATGAACTTAATGGCATGTGCTCTTTTATGTCTAACTTGTTTTTCCACTAAGTTTTATGCTTAGTGGAGACATTTCCATGTTGTCAAACGTATAGTCTAGTACTTTTAATTACTAAGTAGTGTTTCATTGTATGAGCATAACACAAATTTAATTTTCCATATTAAAATTTATGCCCTCATACATAATATTTTGTAATAAAGTCTGTTATTATCCCCATTTTTCAATGAGAAATAAGCAGAGGTTGAATCACTGCACTAGTAACTTAGCTAGTGAGGCAGGGATGGAGTTAATATTAGAACCTAGGCAGTCAGGCTCCAGTGCCTAGAATTTTTTTTTTTTTAATAGGTTTTCGCTATAGGGCGCATGCGCTCTCCAGGTAGAGAGACATAGAGACAGAAAGCGAGAAATCACCCCCCAGGGGGGATGGTCACGCCGCAATCCCTTCTCTTCCATTCTCCTCTCAGGATCTTGGGCATGCACGCACACGCGCCCGGCGTGAGTTTTAAGCCACTGGGTCCGGGACGCGGACTGCGGTCGACCACGTGGGAGTCCAGCGACATAGCCATTACGCTAACTGCTGGTTTCCTCCAGTGCCTAGAATTTAACCACTGCACCTACTGTCTCTGTCCAAAATAGTTTCCATTTAACCTACGTATATTAGTCTCCTGTCAAGCCTATTTTTTTATTTTACAATTTTTAATTTATTATGATTTATACATTTAATCGGTATACATCATTTAGATTATAAAGAGACTTTACCCAGCATGACACACACCTCAGTCCAGCCTAGTTGGGAACATACATACGTCCTTATCAACAAATAATAAGCCATATCTGCATCCCACAAATGCTTTACCTCTTCATTTTTTCCCCAAATTTCCTTTCCTATGCTCTTCCTTTCCCCACTCTTTCTTTCCCCTTTGGCTCTAGTGTCCATAACAATTTTTAATTGTCAAGCCTATGTTTTATACCTTTGCTTAGAACATTCTCTCTCAAGAAGTATTTATATCTTCCTTATTAATCAGTAGTACTTGTTTTTTTCTACATGAAGACTTCCCAGATCAATGAACAATGTTTTTCTTCTCCAATGTAGGATCTAGCTCCCTTAAACACCAGGCCATGGAATGACCCAGCAATTTTTTTTTTCTAATATTCTTAGAACGCATGTTACTTTAAATGATTCTTGATTTGGCTTTATATCCATAAGTCTAAATTCTTTTTTTTTTTTTTTGGAGAGGTTTTTGCTACAGGGTACGTGCACTCACCAGAAAGACAGAGAGAGACAGAGAGACAGAAAACAAGAAATCACCCTCCAGGGGGGATGGCCACGCCGCAATCCCTTCTCTTCCATTCTCTTCTTGGGATCTTAGGCATGCATGCACATGTGCCTGGCATGAGGTTAAGCCACTGGGTCCAGGACTTGAACTGCGCGCAGTCAACTACATGGGAATTCAGCGACATAGGCATTACGTTAACTGCTGGTCCCAAGTCTAAATTCTTTATATTACTTAAAGTGATATAACTCATTGTATAAATATGTAATTAAGGTTTGATAATGAATGATGGAACAAGAAATAGTTTAACCAGAAATATGTATTTATTTAACAAACGTTTTTGGTGTATGTTTTATAGAGACAACTTTATTCCTCTTAAACAAAGGCATAGGACGGGGACTCAGCAAAGTATGTAGCCTAAATGTGGTCCTCAAAAATTTTCATGCTTGGTATCTATGGAGAAAAGAAAACATAAAAACATTGTTGGTTTTCTATGGTATATTCCTTCAGCTGAGTGTGAGTAGCAGTCTAAGCTAAAGCAGGGGTCAGGGAACTTTTCCTGTGAAAGGCCAGATGTGACTATTTTAGATGTTGTGGTTCACAGGTCTACGCAATAACTAATCAACTTATGAAGGCGGCCATAGGCAAGAATATAAAATGAGTGGGGCTCTGTGCTAATGCAACTTAGTTTACAAAAACAGAAATTGGGCTAGATCTGATTTGAGCATTGTAATGACTCATCCCAGTAAGCTGAAGGAAATCCAATTAGCTGTGAAGTGAAACATTGATATCAGAGAGCTATTTTAACTAACAATGATTATTGCCTTTTTGAATGAATTTTCAAAATTAGAGAGTTCAGTACAGAGTCAGTGCTCTACTTCAACACTTTCTCTTTGTGTGAGAAAATGTCATATTAATTGTCTCAGATCTAAGCAAAGTCACATGGAAAACATAAAATTTAGGGGAATGGCAGGCGGAGGACATTACTGCGGTACAATGCTGGTCCCAAGGTGTGAACTCTTACCTGTGCTGCAGGGGGCGATATACTCAGCAATAGCAACCTCATCTGAAAGAAACAGGATAAACAACAGATCTATACTTATTAAGTCTATTCACTATACTACATGAGAAAAGCACAGCGGTTTAAAATGATCAAAGCTCCATGAAAATGGATAGAATTGGACAAGATGGTGGGCATATCTACAGTATTTTTCTCTGGGTTGGAGAAAGTGAGATTGAAGCCTATTCAGGCAGCAACTGTTCAGATTTTAAATTTTTAGGAAGATGCTCATCATCGTATTAACTTGTCGTTCTGTCTTCATGAACTTTCTGTATTTAATCACTTTGTTCAGCTTGCTTTTTAAGTCCTTTTTACTAAGGTTATATGTCAACTTGAAACACTTGTCCCACTCCTTTCTAAAAATTGTACCATCCTTCAGAATCCAATTTACTTACTGCTCTAAACTTACTGCCTAGCATGTGATTAATATTAATTTGTTTTAATAGCCTTCTCTTGTTATATTATCTTTTTTAAAAATTATTTTGTTCAACTTTATTTATTTATTTATTTACTTATTTAAATTTGACTAGAGAGAGATAGCATGAGAGAGAGGGAGAGGGAAAGTGAGAAAGCAAGCCACCGGGTCCGAGACTTGAATCATGGTCAACTATGTGGGAGTTCAGCGTCCTTAACCACCATGCCACCTGCTGGCCCCTCTTGTTATATTATCTTTTTTTTTTTTTTTTTGGAGAGGTTTTTGCTATAGGGTGCGTGCACTCTCCAGGCAGACAGAGAGACATAGGGACAGAAAGTGAGAAATCACCCTCCAGGGGAGATGGTCACGCCGCAATCCTTTCTCCTCCATTCTCCTCTCGGGATCTTAGGCACGCATGCACACGCACCTCGCGTGAGTTTTAAGCCACCGGGTCCGGGACGCGAACTGCGGTCGACTACGTGGGAGTCCAGCAACATAACCATTATGCTAACTGCTGGTTCCCATTATATTATCTTTTAGCATTATGTTTTCTAGGTCTCAAATTCAGGGATGTGCCGAGATATTATCCTTCTTTCTAAATTCTTGTTTCTGACTTAATAAATATTAATGATAAGTTTGTTCTGTAGTTAATTTTTATAGTATAGTTTTATAGTATATATCTTAGAGGAAAGACACAAAAATATAGGAAGCGGCTTCAAAAATTTCATGAGAAAATAGAATTAAGGTACAAGCTTATTACAGTGCAAAAAATTAGAAATCTATGCATAGTTTTTTTTTTCTTTTTTTAAGAGGTTTTTGCTACAGGGTGTGTGTGTTCACCATAGAGACAGAGAGAAACAGAGAGATAGAAAGTGAGAAATCACCCCCCAGGGGGGAATGACCATGCTGCAATCCCTTCTCCTCCATTCTCCTCTTGGGATCTCGGGCACGCACGCACACGCGCTCGGCGTGAGTTTAAGCCACTGGGTCCGGGATGCGAACCGCGGTCGACTACATGGGAGTCCAGTGACGTAGCCATTATGCTAACTGCTGGTCCCTATGCAAAGTTTTTCATACTGTGCATTTTCCATTAACTTTTTGAAAACCCTCCTAATATTGATTGACTGAACTAAAAACACAGGATCACAACAGGATCTATTTCTTAGCTTCAGTTGAGATTCTTTAATTGTCTCAGCTTTCTCTCACTCACCTGTTTCATAGTAATCATAGACTTTAACAGTTGCTGCCTTCAGGTCTCTTACTGGGATGTCTTGTAGAGCCGTGAAGGAGAAACTTCGTGTCTGATTTGTCATCTGAAAGAAAAAGTGGGAGTAATTAAGAGCCCAGGAAGCCTACTTTCTTCCTTGAGCAAAACATATTCTTTATTGTTCTTTGGGTCTTTCTTATTCACCTATGTTTGGTAGGTGAGCAAACATTTATGGATGTCAAAATGGATTTTTTGACTACAATCTCTGAACTCTTTATGTGAACAAAATTCCTCAGATTTTCTCCTAAACTATGTAGACAATCCATATTCTCTTGCAGTTCATTGTATGAGTGTAACTCTTTGGACCTATGTGAATGTTTTCTAAGATGAAGAGACATGATTTAATGTAACTTGTAATTATAATATCAAAGTGTTCTTTTGTGTGGCTAGGTAAAACATTTCTTTGTTTTATAGTCAAATTGAAAGATATTCCTTACATTGACATCTTATTTTATATGATGTTTATCAGAATGCTAGTATTATCATTAATTAACACTGCTTTTATTAATATTTCTTTTGGGGAGGGTGTTTAAAATAATAGGGATATATGGAAAACCTCTTGTTCTATTGATTTCACACTTGACATTTCAAAGATATACCATATTCCAATGCTAAGAGAATTAAAAAGTAGAACATGTGAAAAAGTTAAAAGGAGATTTTGCTTTAATTCTTTAGAATACAGTAAATTTTTTTATAAGGGCATTACTAATTTTTCTTCCTTAATATTACAAGGTTCAAAGAGAAAAAAATCCACTTAGAAAGACCACCAATGTGTAACATGTTAGTTAGAATGTCAGGAATCTCACCTGTTCCACATAAATGAGGACATGGTTGTTGTTCACCTCGGTCCTTTTCGCATTGCTGTATCTTTCAAGCTGAAGGAAAGCAGAGAACTCAAAACATTAGAGAGCAGAGGTGAGAACACCGTGAGACCTAGACAAGACTGAAGTAGGGGCAAATGTTTATTCTTCAAATCATGTGAGGGGGAGCTAGGATTTCTTTAAATCATCCTCAAAATTAAAGTGTAGAGTAGATATAAGAAGATCAGTAGGGAGGAGGAATCAAGTTTTGGAGATAGGTTTCAACAGTCATGCTTTGACTGAGAAAATCATCTTATTTTCTATGAAGAGAAGGAAGCCAAATAATGTATAGTGATTGAATGTATAAATAATAATAATAATAAAAAGTCAGAATTCTTTGAGGAGAGGCAAGAGGTAGGCCTTCAGAAGAAGATTCCTCATGGCTCCTGAGAACTAGTGATGTCAGGGACAAAAGAGAAATGAAGATTTTCTACTGATAATTCAGCCTCCAGCCCACAAACTTGAATGGCAGGAGAGGCAAACTTGAGGGTGCTGCATGGTTTTCTATTTTGTGCTTTTTTAAAAAAACAAATTTTTCAAGTTTTTAATTTTTTTCCTTCTTTTCTTCTCTCTGTTTCTTTGTTGTTGCTTTTCTCTCTGTTTCCTTTTCTTTTTCTTTTATCCCATTTCTCCACTCCTTAATGCCCATTTACTCTGTTTCTAGACAGATCTAAGGGAACTATAGCCAAACATCCAAATACTATTAGGGTTAACATATTCCTCAATATCTACTGAATCTATTGCACAAAGGGATCACAACGGAACGGCAAAGAGATTTCAGATCACCCCTTTCTGCATGCTCCTGAACATTCAGATTGAACTTCAAGAATTAGGAAGAAACATACCATCTATCAGATGACTAGAAATCACCACAGGACCACAAGAAATATGGGAAAGCAAGAAAATACCTCT